AATAAAAAGAGGTAGAATAGAGAGAGAGAGAGAGAGAGAGAGAGAGAGAGAGAGAGAGAGAGAGAGAGAGAGAGAGAGAGAGAGGAGATGCCGAAAAAAAAGAGATAACGTTTTTTTTTCCTCTGCTCCGCCGACGCCCGCCAGCGCCCGAGGCGCGGTCGTCACAGCATTCGGATGCTGTTCTTTCCTCGTCGCATTTTTCCGTAATTGTTAGGATTACCTTAATAAGTGGGGGCCTCGAGAAAGAAAGAGAAGGAGGAGGTGGGTTCGTAAGCAGCACAGTCGACGCGTGGCCCGCGGCTTGATCTCTTATGCATAGCAATGCGCGACCGACCAGCATCATAATAACTCCGTCGCTCGTATATATTCCCTCTCTCGTCCCTGCGCTCCTTTTCTTCTCGCTGCGCGTATCCCTTTGGCTTATTTCTTTCTTTTTTTTCTTTTCGTTCTGTTTTGCGGGTCATTCGACCATCAAACTTTGGCTTTTAATGATGCGCCCGAGTGCAGATTCTCGCGTGCAAAATTGTTCGGTCCGTTGAGTTGTAAGCAACGTAGTGGGTCGTCGATCGTCGGCACCAAATTCACTTCCTTTTGTGAACTTATATTTTAACGGGAGTCCTCAGCCGCACGTGGCGTATCTCGGCAACAAAGCGGCAGCGGCTCTGTGTGCAGCTGGCTTTAGATAAGAAAACACCGAGAGGCAAAGGATAAATTGATTCCGAAAAAAAGGAGCTCACCTGCAAAATGAATGCAGCGAGCAAAGTGACACGCAGCATCAGAGAGGACAATGGCGACAAGAAATGGGCTTGCGCATTTCAGCGCGGACGTAGACTTAAGTGAAACTTCAAAACCGCAAAAGAACATCGCGTCTTCCAATCTTATTATCCATTCGTGTGTACAGTATTGTGCGTCTCGCGCCTATCCGCAACACACGGAATGCTAGTGGAGTGCAATGTACTCTCTGAATGCGGTTTGTGTATCGATTCTCCCTCGTGCACATGTGTGTCTTTTTAGAATGTAGCAGCAGATGTTTCGCGCCGAGAGCGGCATATACAATAACAAAATATATGTATGCGCGTCGCTGATGAGAGCAGCCTTTAAAAGAAATGAATGAATGGCGCTGATTGTGCTTTCGCGCGTGGAGAACGTTGACAAGTCAATATTACCCAATGCGATAATTTTGCCTTGTGCGCCTTGGTTTATTGACCTGAGATACATTGACAGAAAAAATTTTACTCAAATTTCTTGCTAAAATCATCTCATTGGTTAAATCAAACTTCCATTCAATCAACAATTACTCAACAAAGTAACAATTTTCACCCTGTACGAGCATAGGATAAACAGTATTGTTTTGGAGTTTTTAAAGTCTCGGGACACAGCCAAGTCAATGCGAACGCATTCCATCTTTAATAAGAGTTGATCTAAAACAATCGAAGGGCCAATTGTATAGATAGGCATAACAGACTAATCATTATTATTGTCGCCGTCTGCACTTATTAAAAGCAAGGCTCTCGTGATGAAATTGTTTGCCCGTCTATATAATACGAGAGACTGACTGACTACAGTATTACGTCGATGATTTGTTTCTTAACGCGTGTACGTACACTATGTCGTATATGACGATTAATTCAGTCCAATTGGGCTGCGAGCGACGCGAGCTTGTATAATCTCTTCTTGTCGAATATGGCTGGCGTTCAGTTTGATCGCGATTAGTCATTATGTCAACCACTAATTTAGACCTTTCGTCAACAGACGAAAATTTCGATTTACGTTTTTACGCTACGAAAGTTTCACTTATAGAAACTAAAACATGAAAATGATCAATAATCGAACTTAAATTAGTAGAATTTAAATTACTATTTTCTAAAAAGCCATAACTCTCAATTTCAATTTAGCGAATCTCCGTCGTCGCCGCTGCTGTCATTCGCATAAACAACTATATAGCTTTTGAAGGAAGAAAGAAAAAAGACCAGAGACCTCGTTTAATCGTTTACGGGCTCTGCAGAGAAGCTCGAAAAGAGTGTATGTATACGAGAGAGAAAGAGAGAGAGAGAGAGAGAGAGAGAGAGAGAGAGAGAGAGAGTCAGAGATGACGTCAAGTTAACTCTCTTCGAGTCAAGTGGATCTCGTTAAGGATGACAATGCGAGAAACGGCTAAGAGAAGGAATACTCAACGATGGGCTTTACATATATACATAAAACTTTCCGTGTGTGTCCTTTTTACTTAGTTTGAAAGTAAAAGCGCCAGAGTCATGGAGAATTCAATAAATAAACCAATTCTCAATAATGGACTCTGCAAGGGAAAATTTTATTATTTGCGAAAGTTCATTGCTCGACCGAAGCCACAACTTTTTAAAGAGAGAGCACCTTTTTAAAGCTCAAAATTTATATAGTGTCACGCTTATGCTCGTTAAAGTACCAGCATTTAACAAAAAATTCATCACACGGGTTGCGCGCAAAAAATCCTAAAAAGCTATTTTCGTTCCGTTGCAGAAAAAGCTGTCTGGTGAAAATGCTAAAGGAAATGATTGCCAAGCCATGTGACTGCTGACGACGACGCACACGTCTATTACGCGCGCGAAATAAAAAAAAAAACACGGCAACAACACGTACATACATTTCTCAGGCCACTTCCCAAACGTCACTTACGAACAAGAAGTAAGTTCGTACTCTCAGACAAAAATTATCGCGCAGCACCACATCCGGCAAAACCTATAAAAACTGAACGACGAAAAGTCGCGCTATCGAGAGTGAACCCGCACTCGTGAGATCTTCCAAAGCGCACAAACACACACACATCCTTGACTCTGTAGATATGAAGTATGCCAAAAAAGCGAAATGAAAAAAACACGGCGAAGAGGAAAGCAAACACTTGTGATTGTGTCCCCCACCGAGATTGTACGTACGTATGAAGAATAATAAAGTGAAATTCGATTGAAAAATCATTTGGTCAAAAAGCTGCTTTTATAGCGGCCTGCATCGTTACAAAGACAAAAGCATGTAGCCCGTAGCGAGTTACGATCGCCATATACGCTCAAAAATAATTTCTCTCGAAACGAAGTTGCTGCCCATTGTTTTTGTGAATGCCCCTATAAATAGAATGCATCATTCCGAGCCATCCTTAAAGGGCACACGCGCCGAAGGTGAAGCGAAAGGGAATAAAAAAGCGATCTACATAAAAGAGAGCCAGAACCGTGGATCTTCTGCGAAGAGATATATAATATAAAGTAGAGAGAAAAGCCCGTAAGGTAAAAGCTCGCTGCGTATGGACTTTCTTGATCGCGTAATGAGACTTGTAGCCTATACATACGTCAACGTCCAGAGAGAGAATTGCACAGCTCGCGGCGAAACATGTAACGGGGGCGGCAAGTGTTGCAGACGAATAATTGGATTTTTCGGTTTCCTCGTGATGTGTAGTTCTGTAGCTGCGAGCGAGTTACGAGAACTCGATTATATGCGAGGACGAGGAGTAGCTCATTGACCTTTTTTAACGAACTTCACGGTACCTTCGAAAAGTGCATTTCATCAAGCGACAATTAAAATATTTTTCAGTCGCGTAAAAGGGAGAAAGAAAATGTTGTGCCGTGAAAACCCCAGAATAATGAATCCCTTCGTAGATGATAATGATAATCAACAGACGTGATTTCCTTAAAAATTACTTAAAAAGGCTTATTTATACACGTTATCAGTCAATTACTCCTTTATCTATATAGCTGTTGAAACGTTTTCTTGAAAAATAGAAAAAAGCACGCCCACGATAAGACAAAAAAAAATGAAACCTCACCTCGTTTCCATCTCTCTGTCCCGTGAAAAAAAAAAAAGAAAAAAATAAAAGAAAACAGGCTCATTACCTCAGCTTACCGCACGTGCACGCGCACACATCTCGTTCGCTTCTCTCTGTCTCTCTCATGCGCACGCTCGCCTAACGTTACGTGCCAAGCAACAGCCCTTTCTCGCTTTACGCCGTACGCGTTACGCCTCTCCTCTTTATCTCTATGTGCGCAGGATTAAATCCCTGGTCTCTCGTAAACAATCATGGTGTTTCCTTGCCTACTGGCTCGCGCTTGTGCGTCTTATTTGCATAAGTATTATGACGCTTGTTCCAGGAGAGGAGATGCTACTGGGTTAGACTTATGTCATTTGAAAAAGTTTGTCTCTTCTTATCGTTTGGAATTTTCATTTTTATTGATTTGATACTATTTGGCAAGAAAATGCAGATAGGTGGCAGATGAGGTACATTGAACCTGTTCTTATCGAGTATGAAGGAATAAAGACTGAAACTTTAACTTGATAAAAAGTATCAATACATTTTATCGGCGAGGCTGGATATACGTAAGCATTAAAAAAAGCTATATGCGCTAATACTTTCATTTGAATGAGAATTATTATTTATATTATTGTGCCATTCCATTCCAGTCTCCGCTCTGATTTTGTTGTGCTGCTTTTTTCATATCCACGTCAAAATTCAATGATCATCTATCTATCGCGGCAAGTTTCGCTTGAAATCCTCACTCCGCGTTGAGTGCCATCAAGTGACATCGTCTGGTTATTTGCTTTTAAATAAATCCAGTGCATAGCTTCAGATCACATCTCAAAACACAAATGTATTCGAGTCAATAAGCCATCGGAGAATCGCTAAAAATGCAGTAAGGTACCAGTGGACTTGCACGCGCGCGCGCGCGCGCGCGAAAAGTGCAGCATGCAGCACGACGTTTTGCGGAATGCCATATAGTGCAGCGAGAGAAAAGACACGGAGTTAAAATGCAAGAACGGAGAAATAAGAGCGAAAGAAAGAGAATGCGTGAGTTGGTGCGTGGGGGAAGCAGAGAAGAAGAAAAAACCCCATAGCATACAGCACTACAGTATAGGTGTGTATATAGATATATATATGTAGGCAATGTGGTAGTAATGGTGGGGGGAGAAGTCGAGCCGCCGTTCACCGCAGAGATGTACTCGCCTCTGGTACAAGCAAGGCCCAACAGCAGCAGTCCAGTTGGAGCTCTCGACGAGAAAAGATCGTCTGTCGTGATGGCACCGCTGCGATAAAAGTTCGCGTTATACTTTTTCCCAAGCGCGACAATGAAATGGTCTGTCTCGTGACGTAAGCATATCTTCGCTATTTGTGGAAAAGGATATCAAACAACGAAAAAATTTACAAAGTGACGCAAGTGAATGAAGGGGTGTTTGTGTGTTGTGAGAGTGTGACTTCGAGGACCAATCGAGGATCAATCGCAATGAGGCTACGCCTCGCGATTCTCCTCGCTTTGCTAGCTGGATGCTGCCAAGCAGCACCCACCTCATCGCCATCGGCTGACCAGTGTGACTGGACTGGCAGGTTAAATCAATTTCTTTTTTTCTATGTAAAAAAGAGCAGTTGACGTAAGATGTGCGTGGCTATTGCTTTTCTTCTTTTTCTGTCGTCGACGCCTCGAAAATTGGTGTCGCGACTCGAGCACGATTACATATTACATTCACGCGGGCTTAATCTGGAAAACGCAAACGAAAATCGGAGCAAGATTCTGCACGGAGATAGTTTTGGTTACGAATTCGAAAGCAAAAGAAAAGCGTATCGCAAATGTGAGAAGCACGTCTTCGTCGAGTAATCCGTTGATCGCCTGTGAATGCGCATTGTTAAACGCATTGTAAAACGTGAATATAAGTTTCACGAGCATTAGATTATCTTTGCGCAAAACTTTAAACAATAATTTTCCGACAAGAAACTTCACACGAAAACACAATCATTATTCTCGTATGGGTGCATTACAAATGCTTAGCTATTCGCAAATAATGAGGCGCGCATTATATACTTGAAATGGCGCGCAACAATAGATAGAATGAGATGCCGTAAATATTTCTTCAGTCGTGCAAAAAGGACGATTCAACTTTTCCGCCAACTTTTTAAGGCACTCACATCTCGCTTTACCATTCGATGAATGCGTTGAATAAACGAGAAGGGAAAGCCGTCCATGGCCTAAGGTTGTTGATGTTTTCTTTTTTGACGCCCTGTAGCGCAATTAGCCATGAGAGAAACGCTATTCGGTGGAATGTAAAAAATATGGACTATCGTGCGATTGGCAAATGAACTTAACAAGACATCCAGAAAATCGTAGAAAAATGAAACGCAAAGAAAAACAAATACTCTACGTTGCGCACGTTGCAAGAAAAACGCACTGTAGCAATCCTTTGAAAAAAAAAAATGACTTTCCGCTCACACCACGTCGCTCCAACGATCGCGACCTTCAATCAAGAAATTTCCAATATCTCGTTAACGTCAAGCGAAACTTGTCAAGTATACGACAATTAAACGCATGTAGCAAGAGTATCCGCACGCAAAGCGAGCATTGCTCAAGCGCGCGGCGTGATTAAAGAGTTGGAAGGAAAAAGTGTCGTAATGTTCCCTTTCACCTGTACGTGTTATCTGGTCGTTTGATTATTTTTCACCTTCCGAATTGACGAATAATGTACATATGAACCGGAGGGAATTGTGCAACTGCGTCTCAAAGGTAAAAGTCGTGACCGCGTGTGTTGGACTTCCGCGTCCGCGGGCTTTTAACGGAACTCGCCTACACGCTGCGCTGTACACACGTACACATTCTCGCTCAACGAGTATTCTAAAGGCTTGTTGTTCAGCTTTAGAGGTATTCGTAGCGGAGCGTGATCTATTTTATTTACGCTGATATTATATTCAAATCAAGGATTCTCTTAAAGTTTTTCAAATACTTGTATCGAAGATTATGCTAATTGATTGATAGCGTTTTCAAATGTAATTATACTGATTCGGTATTTCTTTGAGACACGTCATTTTCCGAATGATGCATGTAAAAAGAGGAAAAAATCGATTCGTGACACCGGCTCATATTTATGATCTCTAGCTCGAAGCATCATTTTAATTAAAAAGCCGTCTTATTTCAAAGGCTTCCTTATAGATTTTAGTAAGTTCTTTTTAGTTATATATTCGAAATAGTCTTAAAATAAAACATCAACAATTTCTTTCAATGACATCACCACACAAATAACAACACTCTCCGATCCCAAAAATAAATATGTCTGTAAAAAAATCCCGGTCGCAACTCGTCAAACCACATCCACACAAAAATGCTTGCAAAAGGGCATCGCATCGTACTGCTGAATCGATCAACCGTATTTTTTTGGGTATCAGCGCTCGTTTCAAACGCGAAAGCTCTCGGTGAGAACCAGTTAATTCTGTCATCGCCTCTCGCGACGTGTAACCTTGCTGCCGTGCTCTCAGAGTCCTTGCGTGCTATCAGCAAATTCCACGAGTTCCTCGAATCGACGAGCGAGAAAAAGCGAGATGCTCTCCTTTGCTCATTAGGCGCAATGACCGCGGCAGTTAATTATAAATAAGCGTGGCATTCAATGGTAAAACCGAATCGATAGACAAATCGTCGGAAAACAAACTCATAGTAGTGAAAAACAACCCGCTATTATCGAATGTAACGCAAAAGCATCCCTTAAAGTCAACGGCACGCGCACAACAAAAACAGCTACCATGCTCGTAAATAGAGCGCTTGCGTATACCTACCACGCAAGCGAAGGCGAATGATGATTTAATAAGCAGCACCGAGTTCTGGAGCGGCTTATGCTCACATACGCGTTATTAAAGCGCAAACCAGTCTCCTTTCTCTGTCGCTCAGTCGCCGCGGAAGGAAACCGGTTCCCTTCGTGCCCCATGCCATACAGAAAGAGTATAGAGTTCAGCTCTCTTTTGCAAAGCGTGCAGCGTGCGTTCTCATTATCCACGCGCGCGCGGACTCAAAATAAATACACGCGCGGGAGCTGCAATCCGCCTTTTTACCATCGCACTAAAGAAACAATTGAAGTATACGTTGAGAACGTTGGAGGATCAGTCCGCTGATGATAATGAATTGTCGTTTGCATTGTCCGAGGTGAAAGGAAGAGGCATTAACGGTTAAATGTTAAATTGACGGGTCATGCTCAAAAGAAAAGAAAAATCGATAAATAAAAATGACATAAGTTGAATTGCAACGCGTGGACTGCGTCTCATTTGCAATTCACAAGTTCGCGGTGAATTCGAGTGTTTTCGTGGTGTTCTCGCGCGTGGCGAAATAAAAGTTGAATTTCTAAGTACACGGCGAAAACGAAGTGCCCACAAAGCAGCCGAACTGCGGCTGCGCGCTCGGCTACGCGAGTAAAGGGCCCTTCTTGCGACAAGAGGAGCTCTTCGGTTTCGATCGTGTTGTCATGTTGAGAGAACTTTCGCGTGACATAATATGCCGCTATGATGGTGGCTCGCGGTTTGTTGCTGTATCCTTTTGCAACAAGCGGACCTGAACATTTGAAAATAATGTTCGTACTTTGGCTCAATTGGAACGTACGATTGATTGACGTCAAAGGCGGCTATCGAGCGTGTTCGTGCTTCGTGAGCGTGATATAGCGCACTCGCACGCTCGCTCTAATTGCAAGCTTTCTCGTCTCTACGCACAATAATTTTCAAATTCCTTTGTAAAAAATAAATCATCGAGTATTCGCTTGTTTGACAGATCGAACGCAGAACGCAATACGCCATCAACATCTACGTTCGATATGCGATTCATGATTTTTCGAGTGACGAATATCATTCTGATCATTTGTATTTTTCAATTGACAGTGGTGGCGGTGGCAAAGGTGTACGACCAGTTTACCTACGTTGCTCGCGAGGAACAGTGTCCTGGCGTTATCCTCGCGGAGCACTACGAGTCGTCCTCTCAGGTGGCGAAAATTCACGGAGTTTTCGTGGCTGTGTAAAAGCTTCCGGCCCAGCACGGGTTTACTTGGAAGGCAAAACGAGCCTGCGACTATTGTACTCAGCGAACGACGGTAAACACGAAGCATTGCATCGATGCTTCCGATCGAGAGGACCAATCGCTGCACTCTATGTGGAAGCTGACGAACAACCAGCTAATAGTAAATTGAAAGTTCGATTGCACTACGATCTTGAACTGCAACAGCTGAAAGCTGAAGAAGAATCCGCATGTCGTCCTTGCAGTAAGGATGAATTGGCTGAAGCTTACTGTAGGAGTGACCTCGTGGCTAGGGGTACGGTTAGTGCTGTGGAAAGGAGACCGGAACTTGAGAGTGCAGAACTTGTGCTTAGGGTCACCAAAACCCTTAGGCGCGTCGATGAGAATGAGGTGAGATAACTGCTTTTATGTACAATCCATTCGATCGCGCCTTTTATCGCGCTGGTGCTTGCGGATAACGGTTCTTTACCATATCTGCACGACGCGACTTTACACATGCTAAATATATGTTGACTTTTTCTTCGTTTTTTCATGCTGGTTTATTTGTTCACAGGAAAACGAATTGGACTCTAGCGAACCTCGAGCGACAAAGGAGGTACGAATTAGAGTGCCAACGACGTGTGATGCTCATCACGGCCAAGGTGAATTTGTGATAATGGCTAAGAAACGATTGGGAGATTTGACGCTGTCGTGTGCTCCGAGACTAGATGAATGGGCACAAGCTGTTAGAGAATTGGAAAGTGCACCTTGTGTACTTAAAAGTTAGCAGCCCGAATTATAAACGTCGACGAGTTTCATTAACAAAATTTTTTTGTTCTTTGTCAGAGATATTGAAGTAGATCTTTATCGACTCCAATTAATTTATATATACATATATGTATTACGAATTATTTTTTTTTATAGTTGTGCATGTTTTTTTTTGTTATACAATTTCTTGATTCACTTGTCAATAGTTGCCATTTTTTTTTACTTCATGCTTCGTTTAGAAAAAACGGAGATGATTTTGGATTTTTTATAATTGCAATTTTATTTTGATCGAGTAAATTAATTGGAGTGAATTAAATATGTGTGTAATGGATATTAAAAAATAGTAGTAGATTAAGTAACATTGTTTTTATTTTATTTTCTGCTCGGAAAATGTGAATCTTCTATGTTTTTGTTTTTGTAAATGTAACAATTTTAGATCAGCTTAAAACGTTAGGATACTTCGTCGTGTTTTTTTTTTCCAATTTAACGAAAGTGACTATACTACTAAAACTTGCGTGTAAATAGTTGTAAAGCAGCCTTGTATATAAATGGATGTACTTCGAAAATAAGACATCGATCTCTAAGCTGTGATATTATTGTATTATGAGAGATTTTAACACAGAAATTAAAAATTGATTATCGTTTATGAATGAAATATATGCGATCAATATCATCGTGTTGTTTAGATTTTAATTGATGGATCTTTGTTGATTCATTGGGATGTGATGAAAGATTGTATGATTTACAAAGAATCATTTTAAATTGTATTTTAATAATAAATGATCATTTTGTAGAAAAACGGCTATATAGCTTTATTTAAAATCTGCTTCACCTTGAAATAAATCGATAAAAACGAGCACATTTTATTTATTTATATACATACATACATACATACATACATACAATATATATGTATACATACATACATACATACATATATATATATATGTATAACAGATACATGATAAATAGATACAATGAGCTAAAGTACAATAGATACAAGTCCGTAAAAAACAACTAGTCTCAGTTTTTACACTTTGGCGTAGTTTGAATGTTATACAACGAACCACAAGTTTTATAATTCGATGCATTCAAATATGGACGATGATTTCGTTTTTCTTTTTTGTTATAATTACATTAACACCATTTACCTTAAACGTAAAAAATTGATGAAATACTGAAAGCTTAAAAAACAAAACATCTAAACAGAAAAGTATTAAACTAATAAAATCAAATCCATAACTGTTCTTAACACCAAATTAACCTTAATTAGAGTAACAAAATAAAAAAAACATGATCTAAGAACGAACAATTATCTATTAGTTTCCAATCTCTGCGCTTCAATAATTTTGCAACTTAAATGCGAATCACGTAACTATTAAAATATTTCAAGAAATTCAACGAGTTACATGTTTCTGTATATGTTAAACACAGCCCAAAATATAATAGCAATAGCACGTATTAGGGTCTGACATATAAAGGTAAAACGGCACAATATGATGGTAAGTGAACATAGACAGCGTAATGGAAAGTATAGTTTTTACATAACATATCAATAATAATCGTGGAAATTTGAAAATGAATAATTGCCAACTCAAACTACATGAATTATTAAAAATAAAAGCAAATAAAATAAATTTGAAAAGTCGATAAATGTACTTATCTAAGAAATATCACTGGCATTAAAGTTGACGTATGTCCATTTACAAATTTCTTCCGTTATTATTGTATATCAAATACAAGTAACACTACTTTATGTCATCTTTGTTAAAGCGCGCGTTTAGTTATTTCTGTTTCATGCCACGAGATGTCACGGCAATCTAGATATCAGACCCCAATTACTATAAACATCTTCAACAAAATTATCAACTTAGACTATGTAGAGATGAGTACAATAGACTATTAATAACAAAATTCGAATCAGTTGCACCACGATAATCAAAATATAGTCATCGCTGCAAAAAATAATGCAATGTGAAATATCGATAAAGTAAATTATGTATACATTTGCCGTAACATGTATGATTGTCGGTATTGTCGAAGAAACATATTAAAAATATCCGAATAACAATAAGATAAAAAAATATTTTCATTCTAATGTTAAAAAAGCTAATTTTTCAATCACTATAAAATCACATTTAAATGGAAGTTTAGTTGCCAGTCAATAAGTTTTAGTTTTAATTTACTATGTACTGTAAGGATAATTTGGACATAAGGGAATCATAAGATCATCCATGTTTGGAATAACGACTATTTTTTCAAATTCTCTAAGCAACTTAGTTTCTATCCATTTTGTAACGTAAACGATATTGAAAGCCCTTTCACCAACCGCAGGTTTCGCTGTTAGAATTATTTTTGGAACTGGTTTGAAACCATACCACAGCCTATCTGAGGGTGGTGGGGGAATATTTACAGCTAGACATCCTTCTATACTAGATACGCTTACTGTCAATCTAATTTCCGTATTAGAAACTCCCTCCATTGCTCTTTTCACATAAGATAATTCAGTAGCCTAAAAGACATTGCAAATATTAAAATTTTATTGCAGTTTTATTACAATAGATTATTAATTTTTTCTTAACTGCCTAAAATAATACTCACATGTTGAAAGTACTTATTAGATGCTAATTTATCGACCATGTTGAGGAATTTCTTACCAGAAGATTGAGTTGGCCTAGAATATTTCATAAGTCATTATCAATTTTTAAAATGTTTTCTTTGTGAAATATGGAATGAGCGTTTATAACTTACGTATTTTCTCTAGAAGAAGGAGTTACAGTTAAGGGAGGGCTATCATCTTCTTCTGTAGAAGTTTCAGGGCTATCTTCTACGTCACTGTCAAACATAGGAGATCTCACCGGCAGAGGTTTATCTTTTAAAATGTCAGAATGACCAGACATCGAACCTGCTCTTTTTAGTTTCATTAAATTTAGTTTTGTCTCTATCGTCATAGTTAAGCTACCCTCGTAAGTTATATCTAAATCGAACCAAAGTCCTCGATTGTCTATAATCGGTTTTGTCGCACTATGAATAACTGGAGCACCCTGGCCAACAACTAACTCTGAGACAAGTAGGCTTTCCATAAAGTATGGTAATTTTATATTAGATAGTTTTCGTTGTATTTTATCTTGAATTATGTTAATAAAATCTGGGCATTTATGCATGTCGAAAAGGATGCGACCTAGTAAAGCATTTATCCATAAACCATCATGACTAATTCTGGACGAAGGACTAGACTCTTCAACAAGCACCGATTGATCCTGATAAAAAAAAAGTAAATTATGTATTAAAAATAATTAGAGATTAACAGGCATACAATTTATCATAGTTTATATTACATCTATATATCGAGTCATATAAGCCTCGTAAGATAATATAGACGCCATTTCGGATGAAGAAAAGGACGGCGTTGATGGTTTCTTATCATGGTTATTAGTGTGCGAGGGCGAGTTCCCATAAAATACATCCTTAGACGAAAAAGAAACAGAACTTCGTTTGCTGCTAGAAACCGTTGCAGCAACTAGGCGTCGGAACCTATTAAAGTCATATTTTATTAGCTTTACATTTATAATATAAAATAGTTGTACAAATTATTGTATTTCAATTTACCAATCTTCTTTTTGTCTGTCGGTTCTTGCAAATAGGTATAGTTTTAGTTTGAATTCTTCATTTTCATCTTCATCTTGACAGTCTTCATAAATATCTTTAGAATCTTTCGATTGAGATAGGTCATCGTCAGTTTCTTCTTCTTCCATAACATTTTTCTCTTTTTCGCTGTCAAGTGGTTGAGTCTCTTCATCTGATGAATTATCCAATAAATTATTCTCTTTTATTAAATCCCTTTCCAATGTAATGCAAATTGGATATTTCTTACTCCAACGTCTGTAATTCCCAGAATAGTGTTTTTGGATTAAGTAAAATATTTCATAAATTTATATTATACATATGAGTTTTCAAATAATATAAATGTCTTTTGAGACTAGTTAAAGAAGTTATTGATAAATATCTACAAAGATAAAATTGATAAGATAAGCTTCATATCAAGGACAAAATATAATCTAACAAACTTTATGACATTGATAGAACATCTAACTTAACTATATAGGTTATTGACATACTTGTATAGATTAAATTTTTGTACTCTTATCAAAACACAATAATTTTCATATTAAAGTTTTAGCAAAGTGATGGAAAATGCATAAGATATAATTATACAAAAAGAATTAACCCAATTCATACCTTCTTCTAATAAGACCATGAGGGAGTAATTCAATTTTTGCTTCATCTAATGAATAAATTCTTTGTTTAGTAAGCTTTGGTTTATGTTTTGACTCATCCCAAACTGCCCTTTTTGGAATTCTAGTTCTGGTTTCCATTATTTGTAAATTTTCTCCCTCCAACTTAAGAAAAATTGGTTTTGTGCGAGCCAAATGATAATTATTTGGTTCATATTTATATGGCAGTTCATTCAGCCATCCTTCAAACTTTTCTAAAACTGCATGTTCTTTAGCTGCTGGAACTTCAACGAAAGGAACTGAAGATGGTTTTGGAATGGCTGGATTTTCTAGCAGCCAACTGATATTTCTGTAAATTTTATGTATCATTATTGATACTAAAATACCAGCCAACACACCTGATAAATAACCAGGTACAGGAATCAAGTAACAAGAACAAAGAATAACTGATAATATTGGCAAGTCACTGTAAATTAAATTTTTAATTTGAATTGTTAAGTTATCCGTATCAGCCATAACTTTATTAACAGGCTTTAAGATATCCGGTAAAGATAAATTTTGAACTTTTTTAATATTGCTAATATTAATTTTGCTTGTATCACTTTCAAGGCATGAATCTTGATAATTTTTAGATTCACAGATTGATTCTGCAGCTTCAACCCCACTTTCAACACTGTAGTGCCCTGACTTTTTGGCTTTCAAGCCAGTCTTAATACGTGAGAAACCAACAAATCTAGACGAATGAGATTGTTTTCTTGCATGTGGGGACATTGTATTCTTCTCTTTTTTCTTCAAGCTAGAATCCTTAGATGATGCATGTTCACCTAATTCTTCATAATCACTCACACTGGAGGTATCTCTACTTTTATCACACTTTGATTTTTTCTTCTCATTTTTCATTTCTGATATTTTATCTTCAAAGGTTTTTGTGATTTTTCCTTTTATATTAGTCAATAATTTCCATGGTTCTGACGGTGATACACTTTCAGACAGATTCTCATCCATACTTGTTGAGCGTCTTTCCATTCTTCCTTCACAGCCATTGCTACCATCAGATATACTTATACGACTTTTTCTCCTTGAATTGGAGATTTGCTTTGGAGATAATTTACCAGATTCCTGAGAATGTACTTTTTCATCATCTGTGCTAGGATATAATTCTTCCAATTCATCATCACTGGCATGATATCGTATCACTGGAAAAGACATGGCTATTGGTTTGCCTAAAAAAAATTTACTGATAATATATTGCTGTATATAAGAAAAATTAGAGTTATATTTAGATGACTATGATACATTTTCTTAACAGAAAATTACAACATATGTTGAATCAATTAATATATGTAATTTTTATAATAATTATTTAAAACATGTATTAACAACTTTCTTTAATGAATTTTGAATAAATTTATTACTGTTATATACATAAAAAGATAATACATAGTTGTATTAATCTACTTTCAAAACATATTTAGAAAATATAAGTTACTTTAAAATTCTTTTGGCAAAAACTTTAATATAAATACTAATCGTTTACAAATATTTTACTGTTGAGAGCTTCATTATTAGGAGTGTACCAAAATTATTTTGTATTTAAATGCAAATACATGTGTATTCAGCTAAATTTAAAACACTTGTTTTATGTTTACTTTAGAATAATAAATGTTATAAATTTTTCAATGAAACAATATAAGAAATAGTTTATGACAAAAGGATATTATGACGATTTACATATTTTTCAATATTTGCCAAATTGACTATTCAAAATGTCTTAGTCATGCACAAACATCTCAAGCAATCTTCAGTTCGTATTTATTTTTGATCAAAAAACAAAAAAAGTATGTTAAAAATGTTCATCAAATAGATTTATGAAACATTTACCTTTTATCATACCTAAGGTGACTTTAACTGGACTGCTTTCAGAACTCATCTTATCTGTATGACAAAACTAAAGCAGATTGCGTCAGGTCTCCAAAGAATACACTAACGTATTCGCATTTTATAAAAACAGCTAAACCATTACTGGTCTTATCAGATATCTTGAAATATGCTTTGACACGAGTATTGTGGACATTGTTCCCTTATTGTATGCATGCACTAACGTTGCACTAAGCTGTACTCAAGTTCTATTGTAACTCCATAGATAAAGACAAAAACTGACAATGACAAGGTAATCATGAAAACTGAAAACATCGTACTTTCCGAATAATCCGAGAGAGCACGCGTTTGTCTGTTTATCAATAATGTTAGAGCAGTTATAACCTATAAAATATAAAGTTTACGCACATTAATTTGAATACAATACACTTTGAACGATACTTTTGACATTTCCCGAGCTGTAAGCGATTTCGTCAACTCACGTGAGCTTGATTTTTACTGATAAATCATAAACAATTTCTTCTATTCGCAACTGCTTAAGTATTAATATTGCTCCAATAGTAAGGTTTCTGACACTGTCACTAAATAACAATGCTAATATTGCCGCTGGTTGAGGCTCTCTCAAGATAAGATCCGAGGACCAAGGGTCAGAAAACCGCACGGTATTATGCCACAGTCCGTTGTTTCGCTCTGTTCCAATTCTGTACTATAAATAGTAGGACCTGGCCTTGGTCACAACTCACAGCAGCCCTGCGTCCGTCGTAACTCGTCACTCGTTAACCGGTCAACCGTCAACGTCGAGACTGTCACCGATTTGAGCACCCTATCGTGGCCAAGTCGTTGATTTTAAGTTGCTAATTGCTGCACGTTGACCGATAGTTTGCGGAGGGGGTATATATATACCCTAAACGCGTGAGTCTGGCTAGTGTGGGCCAGGGTGGTCATCATCGTTAAGTTGAATTATATTATTTAATAATGAAATTGGCGACAGTGTAGAAGATAGCGATTAAAAAATATACTTAATTAATAAGGAACGACAAATGGATATTTACCAATCAACATAAAACTAACTTGAACCTATTGCAAAGAATACACTTTCTGTGATAAGGAACGTGCTGTATTGTCATTCAGCTGGATCTCCCTTCAGATTGAGTCCTTGCGAATTCGAGAGTGGAAGACTGGAAGTCCCAAACTTGCTCCCTCCCATGCTTCCACCACGACATTATTGTTTTCCACGCTGCGTTTTCTATTGTTCAAGGATGATCTAACGTTATCTTTCACACTATCATACAGACACGCGTAACTGTGATCGTTTGCGCTCGACTTAACCGAGGGTGAAGAGGGTCACGTGAGGATGAAATCACTTTCTTGTGTGTGTATCTAACTTTACTTAGTATATATTTTTCTTCTCAAAATACTATGAAATTTATAAGACGGAGTTGCATGTTCGTATGAAAGTTTAAGAAAGAATGTCGGGTCATCCTTTCTTTATCGGACGTATTTTTATTGATATATTTCGTAAAAATTTCAAAAGTATACAAATAACGTAGCTGAAATACATCCATGAAAACTAGGTGACAACACTATTGGGGCTCTCGAGACTTCTAGGAGTCAGTCTTCATGCACACTTCGAACGCTATACCGTATAATGTTCGCAGTTGACGCTTCTATAAAATAACTCGGAAATCCGTGTTCTCTTCCTTAAAATTGCCGTCACAACTTTGCTCATTGATACTTGACTTGACGAATTAATTGATGCGTAAAATCTTAAGCTTTAATGCTATATATGCAAGTGCCATCGTCATGAAAATTTGTTTCGTCAAGTTGTACGCTTTAAAAGTAAGATGACTAATAAATAACTATAGTTTATCGGTTTGAAAATGATTGTCACCTTACTTTCAAAGCGTATAACTTAAAACAAATTTTCATGAGGATGGCATCTGCATATATAGCATTAAAGCTTAAGACTTTGCGTATTGATTAATTCGTCAAGTCTATCAATTATCAAAGTTGTGGCGATAATTTGAAGCAAGAGAACACGGATTTCCGAGTTATTTTATGAATACGGGCAATTCGGACGTCTGCCATTTTGTGAGACAAGTTTGCGAACGCTTGGAAAAACATTTAGCTTATAATTAAATGTCTTTAATGAAAGATTTTCAGCCTTTTAATTTTTCATAAATTTTTTAAACAAAAGCGTTACTTCTTTGTTTGCAAAAGATGCACCATAGTAAAAATTAATTATTAGAATGTTGAACTCATTAAATTTGAAGTATTCTCGTATTGTGAATTAAGAAACATAGATTTCAAACGTATGACTAACAATATTCTAACTCTAGACTCATAGTAAACTACTAATATTGAGAAAGGGTTGGTATATTTTATTAAACGTAGATTTATTGAAACTTTTGGATAATGTTTCAATACATCTTGGATTAATTAAAAGTTCATTGATTGTTCTCAACTGATAGATGCCAGATGAATTTTTATTGACCAATGAATAGCGATGGTCGTAATTAATTAATCGAGGTCATAATGTTTTTTTTATTTTTATTATTTATTCATGCGTCTATAAAATTAAAATCTATCCATTTTTTACAATTAACATACAAAAGTTTCGATCAATGCAATGAATTTCAGAAAAATATAAAAACGAGCTGAAGCACTCAATAACAGTACATGAGTAAAATTACTTTAACACCTAGATGATTAGCAATGAAATGAGAAATACGTTGCGGAATGTAACGCATAAACGTGCTTTTCATGTCGAATACATGTCGTTACAACAAAGAGAGAATGTATGTGTGTGTGAGAAAGAGAGAGAGAGAGAGAGAGAGAGAGTGACAGAAGACAGACAGAGAAAGAGAGAAAAGCTACACAATTATTCATTTAGCTTTCAACCTTCAAGAAAGCGGCTGATTTTGGATGAAAATTAATGTAAACACACGCGCACTATAAGTTCCATTCAGTGTGACTTTAACTTGTATATATAAAATTCAATGAAATTGATAATCAATTGTAAATACTATTGCTCTTAAACATTTATTTAATTTTTCAACTCGATGATTTTGATAGAATAAACAGTTTTTATTTACTACCGAAAAAATTGTATTTTGAAGTTCCAATTCTTAAGTGTTATATTATAGCCCCAACCAGTACAGTGTAATAATCAATAACTCATCGTGTTTATGTGATAAAAATCTGAAATTATTTCATTTACCTTCATCACCTTGCATGTGGTGACTGCATATATATAGTTAGAATAAACTTTCGATAAATTTTGAGACTTTTATCTAAAGAACTTTGATGATTAGAATATCTATAATCTACAGTATGCTATTGCCGTTGCCTTTGACATTTCAATACAAAGAAAGTATTGAGATTGATACAATGTTTGAAACAGCTTGATTATATTCCCGCCACAAATTGCAGATGTCGCTTTTGCAAGTTCTCGTCGAATGTGTCATGTGTGTGTCGATTGTCGCGTGTGTAAGAAAAAAATACCAGGTGAGAACTGAGTGAAAGAAGAATTGAAGGGTACCGCGTACTGTGTAGAATTGTGGGTCCGACTAAAACGTTTTCCTTTTGACGAACAGTGGTAATGCAAAACAAGAATATGTAAATTTAATGGACAAAATGCGACTTTAATGTTCTCGTGATACAAGAAAATATTCAATGCTAATTCAAAACTTATGTCGTCGACTAAACTTTAATGAAGCTTTAACAATTCTTGGCAAGATTTGCCATTTTTTACTATAAGTCCAAGGTGAGTTTGTCCTAATTACTGTCCATTAACTTTGGCTTTTATATTCATTAAATGTACAAAAGTATGATTTTCTTACATACGTAATTAGTTGTCTTGTCAATTTTATTCTGAAGATGTCAGATAAACTACCTAATAATCAAACCCAACCCATTGTTAAAATTGGACATTATACCCTTGGTGCAACATTGGGTGTTGGTACTTTTGGAAAAGTAAAAAGTGAGTGAATTCACTTTTACATTCACTGCATATACAATAAACCTATTACTTAAATTTTATTTTGTTTGATTATCTCACTTTAGTTGGGGAACATGTTCTTACAAAGCATAAAGTGGCTGTGAAAATTTTGAATCGACAGAAAATAAAAAGTCTAGATGTGGTAGGCAAGATTCGAAGAGAAATCCAAAACTTAAAGCTTTTTCGACATCCTCATATCATCAAATTGTATGTAATAATAAATTGATAGTATATGCTATTTTATAACTTTCATGTAATTTCAGATATCAAGTCATCAGTACACCTACTGATATATTTATGATTATGGAATATGTTTCTGGTGGAGAGCTTTTTGATTATATTGTCAAACATGGGAAACTTAAAGAGTATGAAGCTCGTAGATTTTTTCAACAGATTATTTCTGGTGTAGATTATTGCCATAGACATATGATTGTTCACCGTGACTTGAAGCCTGAAAACTTACTTCTAGATCATAATTTGCATGTAAAAATAGCAGATTTTGGTAATATTATAAATCTGTTTTTCAAACTTAATATTGATAAAAAATCATAGATCGCAAAAATCTTAAACAAATTCAAATGAAATCGTTGTGACTTGACTCTAAAGAATGGAATTTTCTTTTGCAGTATCTATTATTATACAATATTTGTGTTAATAATGTTATTATTTTTCTAGGTTTATCAAACATGATGATGGATGGGGAATTTTTACGTACTTCATGTGGGTCTCCAAATTACGCTGCACCAGAAGTTATTTCAGGCAAATTGTATGCAGGTCCTGAAGTTGATATTTGGTCTTGTGGAGTTATTTTATATGCTTTATTATGTGGAACATTACCATTTGATGATGAACATGTTCCAACATTATTCCGAAAAATAAAATGTAGGTACTTATGTGGTAGATAACTAATGCCATGTTTATTTTTAAATACAATTTAATGTCTTTCAAATTATTATAATCTAATTTTCATTTCAATATAGCTGGTGTTTTTCCAATACCAGAGTATCTCAACAAAAGTGTAGTAAATCTGCTATGTCATATGTTACAAGTTGATCCAATGAAAAGAGCCACAATTGAAGATATAAAGTGAGTTTAAAAATGCTTATGCCTGTTATCAAAATCTCTAATATTGATTATTTTAATAATAATATAAATAATAATGCAATATTTATACATGATACATTTTAAATGCATTTGCAAATCAATTTACAGAAAGCATGATTGGTTCCAAAAAGATCTTCCTACATACTTGTTCCCCTCCCCTGTTGAGCAAGATTCATCTGTGATTGATATTGATGCTATAAATGAAGTTTGTGAAAAGTTCAATGTTAAAGAATCTGAAGTTCATGCAGCACTGCTAAACGGTGATCCTCATGATCAATTAGCTATAGCTTATCATTTGATAATAGATAATAAAAGAATCGCTGATGAGGCTGCTAAGGCAGAAATAAAAGATTTCTATGTTGCCTCAAGTCCACCACCAGTGGCTTTCAGTCCTAATGAAGCAAGTGGAAGTCCTATGAGACCGCATCCTGAACGGATCGCGCGTGAGTACAAGGGTGTGTCAAGCATGTTTTGGTATTTTTTTGAGTTAACAAATAATTTAGTTTAGTAGTGTTAGAAATCAAAGTAACTTATGTGGCGTCTTTATATTTATGTAATAATATACAAATTTAAATAACTTATAGATGGTATTGTTTATTATTTAAATTAGAAGTAAATTACTAATGCATGTAATATCAGGAATGAATATAAATTTTGTTTAAGTTTATTATACTTATTTAAAATATTTGGTAACTCTGTATTCAAGAATTGATGAAATAGAAAAAGTATTCTAATTCTGGAAATTTTATTTCAGCTCTCAGAGATCGTCAAGGTTCTCTTAGTAGTAGTACACCTACACAAATTCAAGGCAATCGAGGTACACCCATTAAAAGAGCCAAATGGCATTTAGGAATAAGATCTCAATCAAAGCCTAATGATATAATGAATGAAGTCTATCGTGCCATGAAAGCATTAAACTTTGAGTGGAAGATAATTAATCCCTATAGTGTAAGAGTTAGGTGCAAAAATAAAGTAATAGATAGATACAGTAAAATGTCACTGCAACTTTATCAAGTTGATTATAAAAGTTATCTTTTAGATTTTAAATCGTTGTCAAGTGAAGAATCTGAAGATCTTATCAAAGGTAATTTTTGAGTGACTTATCTAAATCTCCCTAGTTAATTATTATGAACAATTAATCATTGATTGAAACTGCGTTTTAGACATAACTTTGCCATCGTCGCAAGCAACCGGACATCATACAATGGAATTTTTTGAAATGTGCGCTGCGTTAATAACGCAATTAGCGCGGTAAAAATGACCTAAGTCATGTGCAAAGTACCTGCCTTTGTCAAATTGACAAATGTACACTGAAAATTTTATTGTGCCAGCTGATTTTATTATAATTTGTTTTGTAAATACAATAATTGTTATCGATAGTCTCATGATTTGTAGACTGTTGAAAATAACATTGTATATTTAGTTTTATTAAATTATACATAATAGTTGTTATATTTGATCGAAACATTCAACAATTTATATGATTTTCTGAAAAAAAGCTCTTAAATGCAAGACAACTTTTTAATAAATTAATTAAATTATAGGTAATATAACTAATTAAATGAGGCTTTGGATCGTATTGTGGATACCTGTATATGTATAAATTAAGTATTACTTTAAATAAATCGATATTCAATATACTATAAAACAAGTAGAAGTTAGACATTTTTCTTACAATACCTATTTATTATTCTTGATAATGAATAATCCTATTACATATTTTAATGTAAATTACAACACATAAACTTATCTAATCAGAATTTGTGTGTATATATATATGTATATGTGTGTGTGTGTGTGTGTATATATATATATATATATATATATATATATATATATATATATATATACTTTTACAAGTGCTTGTTAATGGTAACAAGTCCCTATAAAAAGAATTTAATATACGCATTATGTTTATAAAAATATACATTATACATTATTATATTAGTACCACATTCATATGTACTTTTAAAATTTATTCATTAGATTTTTGCGTATACTTTGCATATAAACAGTTAAAATGTTTTTTTTTTATATGTAATATTCAGTGTAGCGAGTGAGCAAGGTAAGAATTGACTGTTGCAGCTCTAACAGTCAATAATGTGGTACAAGTCAATAGTAATATTGTATATTAATTGATTATTATCGGATGAATATGCATAAACCATTGCGTTTTTTATTTGTTTTTTGATTGATGGATTTATACATTGATGATATCAATTAATTACGTTTACATAATGGCACAGTCTCGTCTTTTTTAATTATACAAGTAAATCGTCAAGTCAAAAGTATTGCCTAAATCAGTTTTGTATTATTATTTGAATTGTATAATATACAAAGGCAAAATTTATACTTGAGTTTATTTATTTAAATTATTTTTTTATAGTAATACTGTGCTTATTATATTTGGAAATCAATTTTATAATATTTATCTCAAAATTTTGAGCATTCACCATGAATAAATTCATCTTATCTAATTTGACAGATATTTGTGCCTTCTCATTTTGTTTTACTTCTACTCAAAAAATAAATGCTTTCATTAAGTTGATAGCTGTGCTTTAATCAGCTTGAATAAAATATTTTTATCACAATTTATAAACATACAGCAAATTTTTTAACGTTTAAAACGTTGTGTCAATTTAGCTGAAATCAATTTTCACAATTTATATGAAACAGATTTTATGTCAAGTATGATTCTTATCATTTATTACCGGCAGCATCTGCATTTACCAATAACGTGACAGGTGCTTTAAAAATTTCGAAAATTTGTCCCAATATACTATTTACAATGAAATCGTAATAAATTGTAAAAATTCTTTCTAGTAATCGTTGACTAGCGATCGATGCTACAATGCTCTGTTTTAAACTGATACTAGTAGCATCAATCAGGAAGACTTTATTATATTAAAACCATTACAAACCTCTTCGAGTCAACAAAGCAAAGTGCATAATTAGTAATAAGAACAATACATCTAAAACATTATTATGGTGATTTTTTTGGCGAACGGTAATGAGATTACATATTATTATTTAGGATATTTTACTGAAACCTATAAAAATGTAATGTCATAATTGCATTATATAAAGTACCGCAAATTAAAGTGCTAAAATGACATTTTCATCAAATTATCATTATTAGCAAATCATTTTAATTTTGATTTAAAACGTTTCAATTCTTATCAATCATGAATTTGAGTACAAGTGAAATAATCAACAATATAAAAATATACATTTCTTCCTTGCATAAAACCTTATTTCTATACTTGAAGAAATTGTAAAAAATGTATACTTTGATTAAAAAAATGTAATTGACATAATTGTATTTATACTAAATATTGATTCATTTTTATGTTTTGCTCACAATTTTCATGCAAACTAGTATTACTATTTTTGTAAAAATGTTTTTTTTTGACAGTTGATTTCAAATTGATTATATTGCACTTGGTGATATTACCTTACAGTGATATAATACAACTACATAGCATAAATAAACCTTGCTGTATTGGTATATTCAGTAGCTGCCGTTTCACACTTCACTTTTTCATTTTAAGAATTTATTAAATTTCTTGACTTTCTTCATTTGTTGTATCATCAATAAATTCCACATGAGTAAATGGAAAATGTCCAACTTTACCATGCAACTCACCCTCCCACTGACCATTAATGTTCGTTTTTGTGACTTTAATAACATCTCCAACTTCTAATTTTAATGCTGTCTTGTCATAAGCATTTGGTACACGTGCTTGTTTTACTTTAGCAAATGCTGGTAGTGTTCTTTGAATATTAGAACGGCGAGTTGCAGTTTGAATAGATTCTGTTTGTAATGACTGAATTCCAGAGCCTGAACTACCACCACTTTCAGGCCTTGCTGGTGTAGTCTCTAGTGTGTTATTATCTTCTTCATACTTTTGCACATAAGGAACAGGTACTGAACCAGCTTGTCCTAAACTATTTCTAGCAGTCCACCATTGTTCTTCATCTTTAGAGATTATAGTAAGAATTTCACCTAAAATTTTGTTTATATAAATTTCAGATATATTTGATGACACGAATTGAAGAAATATTAAAAATATTGACTATTTTAATATTTTTATTTTTGAATAAAATGGCTAGTCACAATCAATTAGAAAATAAAATATTTATTTTACCTTTTCTAAATGGTAAATCATCTGGATCATTGCCCTCAAAATCATACCTAGCAATTACCCTCTGAATTTTTCGTGGTGCTGGTCTGATAAGTGGTGTTGTATCCAAATAATGTAACTTATAAAATGCCAAAAGACTCGGAATATCAGGAAATATCTGATCTCCAATACGATAACATATCTTATCCCCTTGTTGTATTTTATTAATAATATAGTGGCTGACTTTGCTGTCTTCTCTCACACACAAAACAAAGTCTCCGTGTATGGAGATGCTATCCCTCACAAGAAAAACTCCTCCTTCTTTCTCACTCATCAATAAGTCTGAGGCATCCTGTCTGGACATAGGTCCAAAGTACCAACTGCAGAAAATCATTGAGTATAGTCAATGCAAAATAATTAATGCCTGCGGTGCTTCAAACATTTATTATCTTATCGAGAAAAATGGAATGTGTTATGTGTATCTTTAAATATTCAGTGCTATATACGCTTTAGCCAAAGATTATACAAAATTAACATGTAACAGTTGTACATTTAAAGTTTTAAATTCATTAGCTAAGCCTGCCAAAAGTAACATTTGCTAAAAATAATGTTGTAATTAACGCAAAGAGCATTACTCATAGTTGGCAAAAAAGGCAAATGGAAAGCTTGAAAACTGTCATGATACAAAAGGCAAGAAGCAAGCAGTGCAAGTCACGTGTGAAGAAGAGAGTGAGATAGAGTTATGATGAGTAGTAAGTACCTGTCCTTGTCGTACTGGTCAAAAGTACCAGCCATGGTGTTATTTCTAATGCTAAATTTAGGTCTAAACAAATTATTAGCTGCTGGCTCCTAGGTGAAGAGGTTAAAAATCCGAAAAAGTAACGTAATAAAACGACGAGTAGCCGTGTGATGCTTATAAAAGCGGCGGCAGGACGTAGACCTGCGTGTACAGAGCGACTATATTATTCTTTCACAGACGTCTGAGGATGCCCCGTAAATAGAGCTGCCGAGAAGAACATTCACGAGGCGGCTGCATGGCTACTGCTGCTGGTGTTGCTCGTCGAACAAGTGGCGGTGGCGGCTTACTTGGTATAACACTGACTGATCCGCTTTTTTTCTCTCTTGTGCTCCCTTTCGCGCCTCAATAAAGATTCCAGAGCACAGAGGCTTTTGACACACACTCGGATGTTCGATTGAGCCTACTTTTGGCTCTCTCTCGCCGACTACTCTATCTGACACCACGCCATGCTCCGCACAGAGAAGCTAATTGAAGCCGTCGACCACCGAGAACACATACACCGTACGACCTTTTGCCTTCGGACGCTACTGTTTATCGTCGCTTTTGTATTTCTCTAAAATCCGTCGGATATAGCAGCTTGTATTTGAGTACGCTTCCAGTTTTACACTTTATATGAGTTCATCTTTGACGCGTTTAAACGGTTCGTTCAATGCAGTTACCTGCAGTAACCAATGCAAGATTCAATTTTGTTCTGTTTTAGTTCTGACAGCGTTCTACAGGTGGCTAATTATGGGTGGTAAGATAGAATCCTACTACAAAATTGTTGTGGTAACAATGAACAGTTATAAAAATCGCTTTAATATGTTTAGTATATATATGAATTGTCTAGTAAGTTTTTACAAGTCATTTAACGTTATTAAGCTCAAAAATGTTATTTTACTATTTTTTAAATTTGATTTCGTGACATCTATTTGACAATTTTTTATTCATTTTAGAAATGATTGAAGACATTTTTACTTGAATTTTGAATTTTGACTTTTATTTTATTTAAATTTTTGAATTTTTACTTGCTTTTTCAATTTTATAGCATATATATAATTGATTCAACTTTAAAAAAACTATGTAAATGCTTGAATAGCCTGAATCAAAATAAATTATTCTACGTTTAGTTTCGTAGCTTATCTTGTATATGAGACATTTAATAATATAATGTAAAATAGTTGTAATGCATAAATGATAAAATACGCAGGAACTTCGTTTAAATTTTCAGGTATTTTATTTGAAATATAAAAAGTACTCCATACTACAAAATAAAATCATAATCGAATAACATAGAAATTAATTTCTGCTGCAACTCCTTTGATTATCTGCTAACCATATATCTGACGTACAATCTCCGCCAGGATATCTATAAGTCAAAGGTAAGCTTTATTAAAAATCAAACGTCTAATTATTTCGAATAATAACGAAAATACCTCATTTCGTGAGCAAGCATAACATCAGTTCTATCCGCACCAAAATCAACCAAAAAGTTTTCATCGAGTTTCATTCCACCATTCTCAACATCAATGTCAAATTTCACCATAACAGAGCCGTTCCTGTTAATGAACCAGTAATCGTTATTCTTGACCCATGTTCGTTTTCAAGTATCAGCTTCCTTTCTCACACTGTGATAAAAAGAACTGTAAGTTCGAATAAGAAGCCCAAAACACACTCACTTCATGTGTTCGGGATAGAATTGCCGATCCCAAGGCTTAAAAATCGATGTGGTCACATATAGTCGTTTCCCATCTAAGCTGAGTTGCAGCATTTGGGGAGAACCATCGAGTCTGCGACCTTTTATATAGACCGGATCAGGTTGTTTTTCCAGCTCGTGGTCCTCGATGACTCGTACTTTCGAATCAGACAGAATAGAGCCGCCCATGAAAATTTGTCCAGTGAGTTGTGGTTTCGCGCGATTGGTTATGTCGTATTGACGCACGTCGCCGTGCAACCAATTGGAAAAATACAGGTATTTGTCATCGAGACTGACGAGAATGTCCGTGATCATACCTGTAAGATAAGAAGAAAATTCATAGGTATCGATTTTCTGCAGATGTTGCTTAGTTATTATCGACTTCGCTTACTTTTCCAGGATAATTCATTCGCTATTGCCCTATAATTTCATTGCAAAATCGTGTGTATGAAATAAGTAATATTCACGACTATCGGGTTTGAAATGCAAATAATCGTCTATAGCAAACAAGTAAATAACTAAATTAGACTAGAAGTACTGATTATGGCTCCCAAAAATTACGCAATAACTGGTTTGGCTCCGGCTTCTCTCGTCGTCTAATCTTGGTCGTAGTTAGTTATTCAGGAATTTCAGAATATCAGATGCCTGTCCACGATTCGTTTTGATAAACTAAGCTTGACGTTATCCTATCCTTCAGCTGACAACGCGAGCATCCGACTATTACGACGAATGACTGGCTCGCAGGGTTAAAAAGATAAAGCAAAAGCGAACGGATAATTACCGGACATGTATGGTGCCATCCATCCTTCGACTTTTTTCAACGGCACCTTGATGACTTTGTCAGCGACCCAAACATCGCCCTGTCCGTCCTTGTGAAAATGGTAAACGGTCGAATTCACGGCACAACCCACGTAACCGTCTTGGCTCGTTGGCTCGTGCAGAAATCTCACCTCCAGTGGTGTCACACCTTCTTCGCCTAAATTGATCACCTGCTTCAGTGTCCTATCCTTCCACGAGTAAAAATTTAAGCTTCTACCGTAGACCTCTGCGAAAAATTGACAATGTGTGTTTTTAAGATTCTTTCGTTAGTTATTTTGTAAGTTAGTCGACGAAAACATTACGCCGGTTAACACAAGCATTAGATTTGTTACAGTTAGCAACATTACAAATAAATTATAAGATAAGTCCTTTTCAGCGTCGTTTATCAAATCAACAAACTTTTACACACGCAAACTTTGTCAAGAATATAAAAACAAAAATGCTCGTGTCAGTTGTTCACTTCTAATACTCAATGCGTGAAATAACTGATAATCTGAGCAGTACAAATAAAAAATTATTGTATAACAGTAAAAGCAAAAATACCTATACTACTGCAATATTATTGATATTTTAATTAGTATTGCAATATCATTGTTAACGTGAGTTTTTATTAGATTGATTTACGAACCTTCGATCGGTCCTGTAAAAGCAAAATAAACGCTGTTTAATGAATTTTTCAAATGACAGTTTGATCAATCACCAATATCCAACGATTATTATCATTTGTAGCATAAATACATTCCATCTTGATAAATTTTGTGATAAGAAATAATATTCAGAATTAAATGTATTAATACATTTGTGCTTGGGCATCGATGATCAAATAATGAAATGTCGCATGACAACAGGTCTACTAGACGAGAATGTAAATTCAAGATCGCGTTACCATGATCGTGTGGGTTGTCGGCGCTGAAACCCCGTTTGAAGACTTTTGGCGTGCCCCACTCCGTAGCGACGAGGGTGTCGTGGTGCGGTTGATACCAGAAGTCATAACCAAACTTGGCTCTCTTCGGTCCCTTCACCCACGTTCCCGTAATTTCCAGTGTTTTTGTGTCAATACAGAGAAAGTCAGCATACGCATCGCCATTAGGTCTTCCTAAGGTCGAAATCATAATTTCACCGGTAGGTGAGCAATGAGCTGTATGCGGAGTCGCAACTCCAAACTTGTACATTTCTTCGGGTTCCAGTATCTGAAGTCATTTTTAATCGTTCATCGTGAGTCTGTTCGCAAATAATGCACGAGACGCTGCATCTGGGGAATTATCGCGTGGGAAATATATATACATGCATGTGGTAATGCGAATTGCAATCATTGCTAAATAACTGTTTAGAACGTCATAAAACGGTGTTTTCTTTCTCGCGCATTACGTACGGAACGAGGTCGCGCTGGTACGTGTAACTAATTTATCAATTGAATAATATATACACACTACTCCGTGCGCAGTTCTATTAGTGTTTTCCAAGAAAATTTGCCCTAGATTTTCTACACTTCCAAGCATTCAAATCTTGATAAGTGCATTTTTCACCATCGTACTGCACGAAAGAATACGTAATGGGCAGACCTACGCAAACATAAAAAGCTGCATATAAAATATAGATGTTCGAAAGTAACGTTTACTTATTGCGACGAATGAAATTGAATCGAATGTCGGATCCAAGCAGTTATAAAAGAAATTATGGGATTTTACTGTAATGTTTAACCAAGAATTGACAGTCCTTGTTCAACCACTCGTCGAGATAGACAGAGGGTCTCGACTGCGACGTAGTACAAGAAAGCGATGATGACCCCGACCGAGCGCTAATCCGCAAAACGGTCGATTCGAGACGAGATAATAGGGGGCAGATAAAACTGGATATTGTCAAGAGAGAAACCTTCTTGATCTTCGGAGCCCTCTCGTCCGTGACATCGACAAAATAGATTCTGTCGGACATGAGGCATGGCAATACAAGGGTGTCGCGTTTGCCTGGCTCTCCGTGGCAGCTGCTGCAGATATTCCAACCACTGTGATGTAGCTCGTCTCCCACTTCTCGCATGCTCAACTTGTGGATTATCTGGCTCAATCGAAGGGACAAAAAGTAATTAGCTGCATGCGCGCGCCGATATTTTCAAGTGTACAGTGAGAGGCATATCTGCCACACTATAAATTATAGCCAATGTCTGTAGTTAAGTTATTACGAGTAGGAATGCTCACAGTTGTTAATTACTTTACCACAAATTCTGCCAATCGATTGCGGTTAATGCATTTCTTATTGACTGATACTAATTTTAGTATTTTATCGCAGGCTTCAAAAAATAAATCGCGTTTCAATGTATAATACTGTTATTAACAATGTTGAAATATTTCCTAAATAATTCATAAATATAGCGAATTGTAAAACCAGTTTTTTATGAATGTTGCTTGCAAAATTATGCGGCTATGTTGACAAAAATACATGTATTGGTAGCTTGTTTTGATATTTGTTGCGAAATATCGCCGATATTAACTTTACGATTGTAAATGAACTTTCACCATTGCTATCACTTGAGATATAAGAATAATCAACGTTAATGGTATAAAAAGCGACTCGAGTAAAACGGTGACGAAACGCTGAAGATGTATCAATGACATATTTGCACACTCACCTGGCAATAAGTGGGACTGTCAGGGTCGACATCAACAGTTGCGAGTGCATCAGGTTTGTTTGGATGGGTGTGTATGCAGTTCACATAGAGTATTTTCTCGCGCGGCCCATGCAGCGTTGCATCTCTTGGACTAGGATAACCTGGACCACAACTAGGCGTTCCTGAACAAAATATCACTTACATTCTATTGGATAATTGTTTAAAATGTATTATTATAAAGCTTTCTTGTTGGAAAATTAATACACTCGATGATGCTCTTTCAAAATCATTTGTGTTCTAAAGAATAGTGTCTAAAAGAATTTTCAAACGGGTACATTCTTCAGTGAGAACATTTTAACTCAGTCGTTATCAATTCAACCGAATGAGTTATTAAATCAAAACTTTTATTAGTGTGCTAAGATTTTCGTCAATTTATGCTTATCCCATTCATTCTACCGTACGAGTAACGTAATAGAAATATCATACTTTGAGCTGCAATGAACAAAGCTATTATTTATTGAAATGCGAAAGTACTTTAAAATGCCCTATGTTTACCACGCCCCTACAGGCTGGAATTCTAGCAGGTAAATCTATATATTGAGAAACAGTACATCCGATATGTAAAGAGACAAAGAGGGGGGAAGGGGAGTTTCGAAATCAATTAGAATATGCTGATAATCGAAACCACATTGGATTACTGGAATATTATATTCTTTAATACTTATTTCTCTGATAGGTAAGTGACTTTGAAAAAAATTATTCAAACTTTTATTCAATGTTGCCTTTTTCCATTATTTTTTTTTTTTTTTTTTTTTTATTGAGCTTTTAAACTTACATAAGTTTATTTCGCCGTACAGTAGAGAATTACTTTTTACATTGTTTGTAGTATTTACATTATTTTTAAATTACCCATCGAATTTATTTTTTAAAGTGTATTAAAAATTGAAATAATGCTAATGAATCGATAACATAATACTAAATTGAGAAATATCGTAAAAAAGCAATAAAAAACAAGCGAGCGTAAGCGTGATAAAATCAAATTTTATCATAGCTGTCGACTAGTTTTCGTCTAAGAATGCTAATTTTTGGACTAATAATGAAGTAGGACAGAAATTAACGCGTATAAATTCGTTATAGGTATAGCAAACGGCTTTTTAAATTGAAGCGATTAACTTGGTAGCTTATCGATCAGAAAAGAGTATATCATTTGGAAGTAAATGCAGCTTATGAAAGTGAAATAACAATTAATAAAAACTCTGCGCATTCATTAAAATTACCAATGAACTCGATTTAACAAAGATCTTATCGAACATCTAGTAATGTAAAAATCAAGAATGCACATCGTAGATCTCGTTGTAAAAATAAACCATTACACGACAAAGCCTCACGTATGTTAGAGACGCGACGCACAAAACTTAATTGAGCACCTGTTCTAACATTACGTCGCAAGAGACTCGTAATGCATAACGAAACAATATCATCACGGTATCATCCGATTAAGAGCGTGCAAGAGCTAAACACAAGAACACAGAAAGTAATTCACTTACTTTCACTTGCCATGTCTGCTTTTTTTAGAGCCGTTATACCCATATACGATCGACAACGATGACAACCACAGCGACGCGTGGTCACGAAAGAACTGCAGTGCCGCGCGCACAAACAACCGGCTATACTTACTCTGGCTGTATACTGACGCTGACTATCTGCTCATTCTCTGTCAGTTTGCGTGTGCCATTGACCTTGGACTTTTGCTAAACTCATACGTATATACATATATCAGTCTAAATGTGCTGAGTGGGTGTAATCGAATGCCTTATTCGTACTGTTTGCGTGTGAAATTGAATCGCAATTTGTTCATTAACATTGCATATCACTACGACTGATACAAAGAAAATTATATCTCGTATATGTATAGCTAAAAAATTTATTATTTCAAATTATTGATCGATTTATTTTATGCAAGATTTTTTAACTGATCTGTTGATGATCAGAACAATTTTTTGAAATTTAAAAATAAATAGTTGTCGTTTTATAACAATTTTTATATAATGTTTGGATGGCTTTTAATATTAATCATATTATTAATTTCAAATAAAAATTGATAAATACACATGATAATTAACGAAATATAAAAAGCACTAATAAAACAATAGAAATAAACTCATTAAAGTTTAAGGACTTTTCAATAACTATACATAATATTAACTCACGGAACTGTCTAGTAATTCATTATCAATTCAAATATTAAATTTGATACTTTATTAATAAGAAATAGTTTTACAAAAAACATTACACATCAGTTAAAAAGTTTTTTCAGTGATTTCGTGCAAAAAAGTAAGTGTTACTACTGGGTGAGCTATATGCGATATATATATCGAAGCATATAGACATAGAATGGTATATAATTATGGTTATTGAGTAAAAACTTGTAGTTTGAATCAATGGCGTTACCATTTCGCACTCAATTATAGATTCTTAAGATTGTAAAATGAAAGGTAATAAGATAGCACCACATCTCATTAGAAATCTATAATACTTTCTTTAAAAATACCAGCTTACATTCATGAACATTTTCATACAGTAGTTGCCGATAGCTTATCATAAACAATATTTGCACGATAATGATTCCTGAAATTCTTTTAATGTAAACTTATTGATTTATGTTTTCATCCATTCATTCGTCGGAATCATTTGTAATTTATGGATCCTTTCTCTAAACTTGCTTTTCGCTATTTCAAGTACATACAAGCTTCGAATACTGCTGTACGATTGTCTCATTTTTTGAATTCTTTTCCATCTATTGTATTCTATTTTCTGTATTTCATACTCAGTATTTCATCGTCGGAGAGTTAAATAACTACGTAATACTAGTAAGGTGGACAATTGAAATGTTTATACGAGGTTGCAATTACATTAGTTCATTAATCATTTGTTTGTCTGATGAGTATTCATTAAAGTTTAAAATATCTGATAAATTTTGTTTGTCAAGTTATGTATGTAAAATATGATGGTATAATAATGACTAGCTATATTTAAATGGTATAATTGTTGATCGACATTAAAAGAAAAATCGTGCGGCTACAATGAAAAATCACCAAGCAACTGAATTAAACAAATGTCTTTGAATTCGACAGTTTGAGATTGCCATCAAAATTATCAGCATTGAAAATATACTTGTGTATCTTTGCAAATATTGTAGTATAACTAATAGTGATTCAGAGATTTCCGATAAATACAATTACAACTACTTATAAACATAAAAATTAACTCTTAGACTCTTTCAATAATTTGCACTGTAAAACGCTTATATATTTTTAAACATTTATCGTACTAATATTTTGTGTTTAGAACATTTAGAATATTTTCGTTTATTTACCTTGGTAATTTCACCGTCCCTTTTGTTTACTGGTAGACAGTATTATTTGTTCCCTATTTATTTTTTCTGAATCATTATATATAAAGCTTTTTGTTTTGAAATTCCGTCAAAAATTATTGTAAAAGTTAATGCGAAAAAATGAGGCTTTGGTTAACGTAGTATAATTCAAATTCTTTACTAAAGTATTATCAATATTCAGTTAAAATGGATAATAGTGAATCTCATTTTGTAAATTCAATCCATAAGTTTTGTGATTCGTATAAAAATGAAAATAATAGATTAATATATAGATCCTAATATATTTGTATAATGGCATAAAGAAGTATTCAGTTTAAAATATAGCATTGGATTTCTTAATAATTACTTTAGACATGGCAGAAACCATCTACCGTCTGATAAAATAATCTTATTTTATCTTTCTTGTCGTGTTTGCATTCAACCATGTTTGATATATTTTGATTTATAATTTGTTCTTTAACGTTGTTGTTTATTTTTCATTATTGCTTATTTCTTCGGCATTGAATTCTTTCTAATACCTTGAAACATAACTAACTACCGAATGTACAAATGGTCGTTTACAATACAACTGTCGAATCGTGAAAATGATAAGAAAATAAACAATCGTACTAATATTCACGTTCACAATGAAATCTTGTTGTACATACATCCTTTCATCGTAAAAAAACCATTAACCTCAAACGACCTAAGTAATAGACCAAGTCAGTTGGTTTTTTTTTCTGTTCATCCGTGACCGGCAGTAGCCAATTCAGTTTTTGCTTTGATAGCCGTCGCAACTTTCCTACTTCTAAGAAGAGCGCAGGCAAGAAGATTCTGCCTCTTTCCAGAAATGAATTGATTTACTTGCGTCTTTGCAGCTGCAGCCCGAGCTGCAATATCGTCGAGGCCAGCCTCGAGTTGATCTAGACTGTCGCTGACATTTGCGATTATCGCGAACAGGAGATTCCGCCGTGCTCGTGATTGTTCTTCGTAGGCGCCTAATCGACGCCGTGCCAACACGCACAGCAGCACTATGATTGCAGCTAAACTCAATACCAAGATGCCTTTTTGCAATAGTGCTGACCACGACAACGGCATTTTGTGATCTCGATATCATTGCATTTTCGATTCTAGATTTTCGTTAGGTTTTCGTGCAAATTAACTGTTGTACTTTTAGAGCTAAGATTTGCTATCAGTTAACTAATTGGTATAGAGTTAGCTCTTTTAGGCTTTTCTTTGTTGTATAGGCGCTTAGAAAAATTTTAATATTAACTACCAAGTTCCTACATTGGAATATAATTTAGTAATAGAGAAATAGCGTCAGTTTTTTTAGAATACTTCAGGTATCGTCCAAGGTTCTTTTGGTATCACACTTTTATTTAGAGCTACTTTAAAATATTTTTGTTTGTTTCTTCCTAGATATTTAGATTGCATAAGTTCATGAAAGATAATTTAATGGTTAATCTTCTAATTGGAGAAGTATATCTAACAAATTATCACATAAAACTTTCGGCACAGAACAGTCTTGATAAAATTAAGCGTTAGGTTTGTAGAAAACTTGAAGAAAAAAAAAACAGAGAAAAAGCGCAAGCCGAAAAGAGCAACTTGCCCCGCAGCTTTCTTCTTGTGTACGAAAAAGCCTGCGGACCAGTTCTAGTCGGGCTCTTCTCTCTCTTTCTTTCTTTTTTTTTTACTCGCAGTGTCGACACAGTTTCTCACGGCAGCAGCTTTTCTCTCTCGGAGGCACTTTCCTGGTTGCCGGATGATTCAGCAGCTAGTAGTTTCCGTCCTTCTAGTAAACGTTTCGCCTGCGCTTCCCTTTTCGTCTATTATTACGCAAACGTAGACTCGCATTATCTTTTTTGCCTCTTTTTTCTGCGAGGTAACGTATCCACGATGAGATAGTGTTGATAGTCATTGGAGTATCGAATCATCTCGTTCGCTCATGCTGATGCAGGAAAATGAAAATACAAAACATACGTGTCAGTTTTTTAGTGCCTTGATACGCGGCCTTGTTGATTCGTTTAATTAGCGCTTGGAAGAATCTCACAGGTACCTGATACAAATGTGAATTAGCTATGTTTATTGAGATATCCAGAGAAAACCCAGAAAAACAACCTTGGAATGTATAAAACTTAAAGAGTTAAATAAATTCTTTTAATAATGCATTAAAGTACTTTGTATTTTTTATGATGTTTCTCTATTTTTATATCCCGTCGTCATTTCACAAAGGCAAAGTTGGAAGAGAGAAAATGTATCATCGTTAATTTTATCTGTTTTTATTGGGTTTTGAAGAAATTTCATGTACACTTTCCATATTCATATTTCTAACGTGAAAATTTCATTAACAGATTTTACTAATTAGATACTCCAACATCAAAGAACAGAATATTTTGCCGAGAAGAATGATTTCTTTTAAATTGCAATACATCGTAATGAAAATTAATTTATGCATTATGAACTAGATAACCCATGGAAATAAATTTCAGCTAACGTAATATATTTAAAATTATTTATTCGATTACTCATGTTTATAACAGCAATAGAAGCGACTAGAGAAATAATAGATCAAACGTTAAAATCAATCGCTAGTACCTTTATGATTCAAGAAAGTTTGCAGACTGAACATCAATACAGTATTTATTTATTGCACAGTGCTTATGATAAAGTTGAAATTGCAACATATATTCTATTTCAAGGAGTGACATCATTTGAACTCAAATCAGCTTTTTCATTCGTATTGGAATCCCATAAATGTGTTTGAAATTCATTTACATCACATAGAAGAAAAATCACGTGTGTCGATGAGTTACTCACCTCACCCAACCCCTCAACGCACCGTATCAATTCAGCGTATCTTACTCTCTGCCCCTCTCTCCAAAGCCACCTACAAATGCAAGTCTACGCCTCGATCATCTGAAATAACCATGCCGCGCAGCAGCACATTCTCGTCGATAATACTATACTCAAGCGAGAAAGGAAAAGACAAAAACACGTAACTTGTTGCCGTGTTAGCGACTTGTACGCGAATAACGAAGAGGAGAGTGCGAGATATAGGAACAATGTGTCGCTAGCAACGAATTCGGGAGCACTGATGCTGCTGCCGTTTCTCTCTGTCTGTTCCGTGTACACTGCACACGTCTCTGTGTATATATCCGCGTATATCTCTCTCCCACGTGTAGGCGCGGCTCGACTCTCCACCCCTACTCCATATTCTGTCTCTTTCTTTCTTTCCCTCTTACAACTAGCCCACTACGCTTTCTCCTTCTCGCGGCAGAAACCCCCAGTAAAAGGGGAGGCTGCGAACATCCCATGTTCGAGTCATTTTC